TTCCATTATGACTCTGAACCCTCAGTTTGGTGGCTGGTCTGCTCAGCAGAGAGGCTTGGTGGTCGTCAAGACTATACCCCATTCTGCATCAGCTGCATTTTTTCTTGAGGTGCTAAATCCCAATAGCGTTCTGAGTCTGATCTGCTGTGACACATGAGTAATGTGGTCTGACAAGTGACATTTGTTTCTTTCATGCTACAGTTACCAAGAACATGTCCTATGCTAAGTGTTCAAAATAAATATATAGGTGCCTAGAATGAGAATTGGAGATTAGCTGATCAAATATTACTGTGGAAAATAATTCAGTAGTGGCACTAGGTTTTCTAGGAAGGTATTCAAAGTGTAAGTTTGCTCCTTTGAAACATTTCATTATAGCCCTTCTAGACATAGCTCGCTCCAAAAACCTCAAGTCTACCTGAATGGGAGGGAAGCTAAAGGATCTCAGTGATATGCCATCTCGAATCACATGGATGTGACGTAACTCTTTAGAACAGATTGTTATAAACAGGAGAGTGATGAATTGTTTTCCATGACCACCAAGGGTAGAACAAGAAGTAATTGGCTTAGTTTGAAGTAAGGGAGTTTTAGGTTAGGTGCTAAAAAAAACCCTTTCTAATTATAATGATAGTTAACCATTAGAACAGGTTACCTGTGTCAACTGTAGAATCTTCTCATTTGAAGTTTTTAAGAACAAGTTAGAAAAACATCTGTCAGGGATTGCTTATGTATATTTAATCCTGCCTCAGGGCTTGTCTACACTGGCAAGATACTGTGCTGTAACTTTCTTGCACAGGAGTGTAAAAAGACACACGCACACCCAAGCGCATCAAGTTACTTTACGCATCAAGTAAAGTGCCAGTGTAAACAGGCACCCAGCCTGTTAGCTGTTACTCTTGTGAAGCTGATTTAGCTAGAGTGCTGAGAGCGCGCTCTGGCCATGACCACAGTACCACACTAAGTGCTACCATGACTGCGCTTTAATCTTAGTATAGACAGAGCTTCAGTGTGGGAGCCAAGGAGAGCTGCGGGAATCGGTGGGCCGGCCCATGTTGCTTCCCACAGCTCACCTTGGCTTGGAACAGTGAACCGTGTCTATGAATGCTTAGATAAACAAAGCTTTCCTGGGCGGGCCTGCAACCCAGCTTTGAAAACCACGGGATCACCTCTTAAGATCTTTTCCAGCCCAACATTCTTATAATACTGGGATTTACCTGGAGTTGGTAAACAGACTGAACTTAGACATGGACTTTCAAATTAGTAACCAGCAACAAAACCAAATGTGTCATAGCAGTTTCAGAAATAGTAGCTGAACTTTGTGCCAAGTTGTGCTCACCCACTGTTTATGAAACACTGATGAATGTGGGTTTTTTGTCCTGTTTTCATTTGTAGTTATTTTCAGCTTTAGTATAGTTATATGCATTGCAGAGGCATAATGTCAGTGACTGATACATTTCGTAGTATAAACAATGCAATATGGAAGGATTATTTTCCTAGTATATGATGTTTCTGGATACACAACTTAAAAATGTCCAGTATCACAGTACACAGTATCTAGCTGCCTTCAAACTCCTGCCTGTTCCCCAGGTATGTTTTAGCCAATTTTGTAAATTTTTCTTGACTTAGGCAAGTAAGCTTTATGGCAGGTGAATAAAATACAGGTTTTTACAGATTATAGTCAATCATCATCATGATGTAAAGGGTGGATAAATGGTTATATTGATAGGGCTGGTATGTTTTGATGATAGTTTTGTGTAGTTTACAGCATTCATGCTTTCCAAGCACGTCACTCACATTATAATTGTGGATTATTTTCCCCACAGAGTAGATTGCCTTACATTTTTCTGTTTTGAATATTTAATTTGTGCTTGTATTTGTACCTTCTCCATCTTCTCAGTTTTTAATTTTTTGACCTCTCTATGTTTTGTAGCGGTTTCCACTTAAGAATTATTTTCAAACAAAGCCCTTTCACTGTCTTGCTGTTGAGATATCTCAAGACAGTTAAATCCAAAAATGACTATGAAGAGTTATAGTGATCTTACAAAACTGGATGGGTTACTGTGCAACAAAATGACAGCTAAAATTCAGGGTGAATGAAGGCAGAGTCTTGCACATTGGAAAACATACATATTATACATATATATATCCCAACTATACATATAAAATTATAGGGCCATGGTGTCCAGCCAGTTCTGAAGCAGTTATTGGTACTGTTATAATTAACTAGCCACACTCAACTGGCTAAATAGTTACATGTAGCTAGTGGCTAGCATGTTGGATACCATGGTTATAGGGTGTAAATTAGCTGTTACCACTCAGAAATAGATGGTTCTTCAAAAACATGCCAGGACTCCCCAGCTGATTCTAGGTTCCAGGGAAACGCTGTGGGCAGCTGATTCGCACTGCCATTTTTTAAGTACCCCTTCACCTCCCCTTTGCTGCTACTATCTCACAGAGGCAGCAAGCGGGGCCAGGAGGGAGAAGAGATATCAACTAATCAAAAGACTATCCAGTAAGCAAATGCTTATCCGATAGTCGACTAGTCTTTAACATCGCTAGGTCAAATTACAGAGGATGAATAAAAGCAAATAACGCAAGTATGCAGGGTGATTAAACACTGGAATAAATTGCCTAAGGAGGTTGTGGAATCTCCATCATTGGAGATATTTAAAAGCAGGTTGGACAGACACCTGTCAGGGATGATCTAGACAATGCTTGGTCCTGCTGTGAGGACGGTGGTCTGGACTTGATGACCTCTCGAGATCCCTTCCAGTTCTAGCATTCTGTGATTCTCTGAAAAGGAGATATTTCTTCACCCAGAGCATAGTCAATCTGTGGAACTCCTTACCAGAGGATGTTGTGAAAGCCAGGATTATAACAAGGTTCAAAAAAGAACTAAATAAATGAATGGAGAATAGGATCATCAATAAGTATTAGCCTTGATGGGCAGGACAGTGTCCATAGCCTCTGTTTGCCAGAAGATGGGAATGAGAGACAGGCATGGATCACTTGATGATTACCTGTTCTGCCCATTTCCTCTGGGGTACCCGGGATTGTCCACTGTCAGAAGACAACATATTGGTCACAGCAAAAATCCGTCTATTATGGCTGTTCTTATGATCTTATAGTTTTCAGGGCAGTAGTCACCAGCCCGTTAATTGCGATTGAATGTTCAGTCCTGGAGCCTCAGTCAGTCAATTGTGAACCCCAGCCACTACAGTCTTCCAGGGCTCAGACATGCTTCCTGCCTGTCGTGACCCCATGCCGCTCCAGAAGCAGCCAGCTGCAGGCTCATCTCTGTGCTCCCGTTGTGGGGATGGGAACAGCATGTCTCTGCTTGTTGCTTGTGCCCACAGCTCCCATTGGCTGGCTCCTGGCCAATGAGGGCTGTTACGACAGTGCTGGGGGGCAGAGGCAGCACACAGAGACATACTGTTCCCTATCCCACTAGTTCATAAGATCTGGAGGAGAACCTTATTTGAATTGGTTCTGATGTATCTCTTGCATCTTGTAATGTGTACACTAGGGATATTATGAAGCAAATAAATAGCTAATCATGTAGTCGATAGAATTTTTATCAACTACACAATTAGTTGATAAGAGAGGAGGCCTCCAGGAGTTACGCCCCGCTGTGGCTCTTGAGGCTGTGGGCAGGAAGTCTGGCTCCTACTACATTTAAACTGCACAGCTGCAGCAAGGATAGCTCCTAGACCCGGCACGAGCTGGGACTGGACTGGGCTTGCTTAGTCCCAGCTCACACGAGGTCCAACAGCCATTGTCCGTGAGGGTCCCAGTTGGCAGCAGCTGCCAGAGCAGCCTCTGTTCATGGCCAGCCCCGGCTGATAGAGGCAGCAGTGCACAGGAGGGAGGGGCAGATTATCTGGCACTGCAGAGACAAAGCCGGTTCCTCCCAGCACTTAAGCCAACTCCCCACAGGACCAGCTCCTGCTCCCTTCCCTTGTTGCCTCTGATAGCAGGAGGGGATGTGAGTACTCAAGTACTTGACACATCCCTAGTGTACACTACTCTGTTTCAAGATTATGGACCACAAAAATGATCAGGGGTTTGGAATGGGTCTCATATGAAGAGAGATTAAAAAATATTGGACTTTTCAGCTTGGAAAAGAGGCGACTAAGAGGGGAATATGATAGAGGTCTATAAAATCATGACTGGTGTGGAAAAAGTGAATAAGGAAAAGTTATTTTCTTGTTCCCATAATATAAGAACTAGGAGTCACCTAATTAAATTAATAGGTAGCAGATTTCAGACAAACAAAAGGAAGTTTTTCTTCATAAAGCACACAGTCAACCTGTGGAACTCCTTGCCAGAAGATATTGTGAAGAGTAGGACTTTAACTGGGTTCTAAAAAGAGCTAGATAAATTCATGGACGTTGGATCCATCGCTGGCTATTAGCTGGGATGGGTAGGAATGGTGTCCTTATCCTCTGTTTGTCTGGAAATGGATGACAGGAGAGGGATCACATGATGATTAGCTGTTGTATTTACTCCCTCTGGGGCATCTGGTGGATACTGGGCTAAATGGACCTTTGGTCTGACCCAGTATGGCCATTCTTGTGGATCACATAATATTGCAATTCACCCTCTGGCTTTCTCAAAGGATGGAAGAGGTACTTGCATTCAGTTTGTTTCTTACCATATATTAGAATAAATCTTTACTGGCTGGCAACAGAAAAGGCTAACACAGTTTTTGCTTTCATCTTACTGTAGTCTGGACATTAAAAGCATATGAGTTGCATGTTTTGGGTTGGGTAAAAATGTGTAACTGGTTAAAAAGAAAATATATTATGGACAGTAAAAGTTGAGACCCAAACCAGAACTCACCATCATCTACTTATGAAAACAGTACCCATAAACCCTCTTCCTATGTAGTATTGATGCCTATCTGTTTAGTCCTAAGATTAGAAATACACATGTGGTAGATATCTCACCGTGAAAGTTTGAATATTTTGTATTTTTCTTTAATGGTGTTTTTATTTACATAGGTGCTGATGTGGCAGTGACAGATCCCAGCAGTTCAGATAGCCGCATGGAGAGATCAGACCTCTACGCAAGTGTTGATGAAGCACTCATAGGAGGTGATGCTAGCTACCTATCTCAGCCTCTTACGCCAGAGAAGGATGATGCACTTCAGGCTGCAACAGTTGCTAACCTGCGAGCAGCCCTCATGAGTAAGAACAGCTTGTTATCTCTGAAAGCTGACATGCTGGGAGAGGACAGTTCTCTGCTATTCGAGTACTTACCCAAAGGCACACATTCTTTATCTCGTAAGTTTATACTTTAATATTTTTCCTTAAAGATTAATTTTAAAACTAACTAGGAAAAATGGAGGAAATTCAGGTTACTCTAGGATTATTATTCCATTACTGTTTATATATAGGTTATACTTCTGTATGAACCCACATCCCACATTGTTTGGAAACCTGTTGTCTAGTGTTATGCGGTATCAACTTTATTGCATTGATTTGTACATTGTACTTATTGACAGATTTTTAGCGCCTGGCTTTATGCATTTAAAGAATATGGAATATTTGGCTTTTTTCTGTTAAAGATGCTGTGTAGGATTTGGATTCAGAATGAATCAATCTTAAAGCCAGGTGGAAATGAGAGGTGTAGTCATGTTTGTAGATCCTAGAAGCCTAATCTTTTTTTGCTTCCTCCTTTAGATTTTCTGCATTTGATAACGAACCAATAGAGGTTCCATAGTTGTACTGACTTCCACTTTGCTTGCGCACAGTGAGGAATGCTTGTTGTTTGTTGTGGTGTTTTTAGAATTAAATATTTGATTATTACAAAAACTGGAATTGAGGAAGGAAGGAAAATTCTTGATAGCATCTTGTAACTAGACACTTACACATTTACTAAATATCCTCAAATAATCTGTGTAAAAGTATTTATACTGTTGCTGTAATGCCTGTTGGTCCCTGGCTGTTGGAGAGACCGGGTAGGTGAAATGATACCTTTTATAGGACCAAGTTGTGTTGGTGAAAGAGAGAACTTTACGAGCTTATACAGAACTCTTCTTCAGAGCAAAAGCAATCATTCTGTGAGTTACTAACTTGAAACGTACTTTCTTCAAGTCTGAAGCATGTGGACACATGATAGTACTGGATGATTTCTTTGTTGATTCAGATTATACTCTACTGGTTTTGTGTCACACATCATTAAGAACCGGAGTATGTATCCTGCCTGTCCTGTAAGGTAGATCTATAGTTATGTATAAGTCTTTATAAATGTTTTAGATTCTATAGGGTATAGAACTAGTAAAACTTAGGTGTGCTGAAGAAAATAGCTGTAAGAACCATGTATGTTACTGAGATGGTATTTTCAGTAGTACTGGCAGAGCAAAACACAAACTAGAGTGTTATACAAAGCAGAGATGGCCATTAGCAGTGTATATTCACTTAAAATTTCCAGAAATGAGGGGAGAAAATAATTGGCTCAAATAAACAAAGTGAAAAGAGCATTTAATAAGTGTTTGATTTTTATTTATTTTCATTTTTGAAGCCCAGTGTTTAGGTCACCTTTTAAACTAACAGTCACCTGAATTGCATGGTGAATACCGTGCAGTGACAGTGCAATTGAAAATAATATAATGGCAAATCTAAATATTCCTTCTCACACCCCAAATGAAAATAATGGAATTTATTTTTGGTGTAGTTAGTCTCATTTTAAAAATGAGAAAACTGTGGGGTATTTTTAAAGTTTAGGCATATCTTTTTTCTTGTTTTGTTTTAGGGATTATCTTTTTTTAATATTAGGATGGTTTCTTTACTTTGCTAATCTTTCTAAGCAAAATAGTAGAATACTCTGTTGTTCAGATTGCTTGCTCCTAGAGAGAAAATGGCCTCATTCCAATGGCCACCTAAACTTTTGTACCACCTAAACTTTTGTTGTAAATATATAGAGAAACCAGTAGGTAGAGTATATGCACAGGAGAGTTTTTGCCTAGCTTGCATTTTGTAGAAAGCGTCTCTTCACCACGCTTGTAGATGGGTTGGAGGCTGGAAATAGAGCCAATCAACAGAGTGTTACCTGTTACATAGGCAGTGTGTCATAGCCACTACTTGTGGGAGTAATAACATGATGAAGCAGCTTCTGCTTCATAGGCAAAGGTAACAACACTGAGAGGATTGCCCTGCTGCAGCCCTTTTTCTTGGTTCTAAGTTGGCAGGTACTTTATTTCACATTCCCTTTCGCTTTTACCAGCATATGAAATTCACCCATATAGGCCCTAATTATCTGGTCTTTATGCAAGCGAAACTTTTTAAATAGTCACTTCAATCTGAGTATCTTTCTAATTAATGTTCATTCTTTAGTGATATTTAACTCTCTGCACTTACGTTTCTCATTAAACTTTATATCCTATTTTTTTGTTAACAGCCATAAGTGATAGCTTGTAAATCAGTGTTTAGGACTATATTCATAAATTATAATGCATCAACTGATTAGGGTACTGCTAATGGATTCATAAAGTACAATCACTTTATGTTAGTAATAGATTTTGGATGTTTTCTTCCTATTATTTCAATTCTTTACCTTTTTTTACAAATCTAGGGTTTTGTCATTTTAATCTTTGGTACTTATTTTGTTGAAAAGGTAGTGAACAAAGTTCTATGAGAACACATTGTTTTCTGATTTGAGAAATCTCTGAAAATGATGTGTACTAAGCATTTCTAGAATAGTTTTCAGCTTGAAGCTTTAAAAAAAAAAGTGTGTTTGATTTTAACGTCTGTTGATTCAGTTGTCTTCCTGACCGAAAAAAAAGTCCTGTAAGGACATGACCTAAACAGTACTGTTAATATTTACTGTTCTTTTTGTGAATAGGGTTGAGGTAAGGAGGAACAGGTTGTAAGATTATTTACTTTTGTTTGAAATACAAGCTTTCTAAGGGGGTATACCTCTCAGTCATTGTCAGGGATGTAATGAGGTGGGGAATCTGGGGAGGAAGAGGGGGGAGGGTCTATGTTCCCCATGGCCATAGCAGGTTAGGGAAGGGCAGAGGAACCCAACTTGCAAGGGTGATAATGGGGGAGAGGTGTCAGTCAGTCAGTGTCTCTTCTGTGGGAGGCGTGTGGGAAGAGATCACAGCAGTTTCCGAGAGGAACCTATACACACTCATGAACTTCTTGAGCACCCTCCTTAGTAAAATTCTGGTTACAGACCTAGCTACTGCAGAAATGCAGCTTTGTTAGTTTTTCTCTGGCGTAGTTCATGCTGTTCTAAGAAGCTAATTGAAAATATATTAAGGTGCCTTCATACCTCACTGATTTTTGTAATACATTTAAACCCAGGAGATCTTTTTGCTTGCTGATTTACTAAAAGGCTTTGTTTCCTGTGAACTTTACTGTGGATCTGTATTGTAAACATTAAGTTAACAAAACAAAGTAAAAAGTTCTTTGTTAATGAATATTCGTTTTAGAGGATGCAGAAGCATCGGACCTTTTGTTATGATGACACTGAGAGGTGTGGAATACTTAATATTCAGTTAATGGGCAATGGGAATGCAGTATTTTTTTTTCAGTGGATATTAATATATTGTGGGTAGAACAACTGAACAGATGATAATTCAGTATTTGTAAATTTAACCAATTCAAATCAGCTTAAAAATAAAAGGGATGATTTTCAGTTCTTGTCATTCAGGTGATATATAAGAAATAAATTGCTCAGATTTTTTTCCGTGTTTTCCAGAGCTAACAATTCAGTTAAGTTTTTAGTTTTCTGGTGACTGAAGTCAACTCTCATTTAAAAAAATATTTACTCCTTTCATAGTTTCAGATTCATCTGTTATAAAGTTCTCCAAATGTTTGGCTCTTCCTTTTTTACTCTATTGTAATTGAAACTGTTTATAGAAGCAATTAATAATGAAGCATGTTATACCATAGATTACATGGTATGAAGGGCTTTTTTCTTTTGGGCTAACCAATTAATTACTTTATTTCTAGATATTCATTGAAGCTAATAATTCATACTTTCACTAAAAGTTAAATGAATACATTTACACAGTTTTCCCGAGTGATATTCATGTAGGCATGGACTTCTTACAATATTTAGAGGAGAGTTGAAGTCATTTTGAGCATGTCATAACAATTCTGGCATTTCAGTGTAAATTTTCCATAGACGTTTACCGTCTAATCTGTTAGTGCTTTTGGCAATGGAAGATACTATTTTCATGTAGCTATCACTGAGCTCTGTGCATGTTTTTCCCTGAGCATGCTAATCATAGGACAATTGATAATTTTAATTTCTGTTTAAGAAGATTGTCTTGTTTCCATGGAAGAATTTAAAGAAAAAGTAATCTTAATATTTCTTACTATATTAGCTAGAATGGATTAAAATCTAAACTCAGATACTGTTTACTTACTTACATGTATAATATAGAACATTAATGAAACATTGATACTTGTAATTTGTGGAAACAAATAAGTAGATATTAACTGTTGTTGTTATGTATCTATTTGATGCTGCATATCTTTCCTTTCCGTTTTCAGGGGAGTCTAAGTGGGTCAATATGGTTGCCGGGGCACTGAACAATGTGTGGGAGGGGCAGCTCTGTGCTTCTAGAAGGGATGGGGCCTTGGGTGGAAGGGGCAGGGCTGGGCCAGCCAGCTCTCAGAGCTGGCCAGAGTGCATGCCACGGGGCTCTGGAGCATGCCGCCTGGTACTCTGTCTGCGATTCTAAAGGACTTGAGGCTGATGCCGTAGTTATGGTGGTGGCAGCTGGGTGCCTCAGACCCCTTGGAATTCCTGGGTACCAGGACAACTGCCCCCTTTGCTTCTCCCCCTTGGCAGGTCTGGGAGTGTCATATTGTTTCCCCTTAGTATCCAAAAAATTGCCCATTCTGTCAACCTTTGCTGTTGCTTTAATAAATGGCTAACTGTTCACTTCACATTGAATACCAAGTATAGCTTCCTAAGGGAACTAGCAAGGAAACTACAAAAGCTAAAACACCATTTCTTACTTTGCTAAGATTGAGGCAACATTTAGCCTGATTTGGACACCTTCTGCAAGTTCTCCAGAGTTACAGTGCAGAGCTGCAATGTAAACAGAGTAATCTGCATTGGTATTGTAGATTTACTCAGAACACCTGATAATCTCATATGTTTGTGTAGGTGGGAATTGATTGTGTGATTACCCAAAGTGGTGTAATATTATAAGCCTGATTTTTTTCCTGCTTCATTTGAATGTTGAAAATATTTTTTACTCTGTATCTCAAAAAAGATGTATTAAAACTGGAAAAGATACAGAGAAGGGCAACAAAAATGA